GTTTCAGCTCTCGAGCTCTAACTAGTACTGAGATACATCAAAAAGATCAAAATATATAAATTTTTGTTCACGACTTATGCATTATTTTCACTATCAAAATAAAATACAGAAAACAAACAGGAAAGTTTATGTATTTCAATCTTGTCGATATATTTCATCATTAGTTAGAGTTAGAGATCTGAAACTTTTAGAAATAAAAGATCTTAATTAGATATATATATGATAAAAATTTCAGCTCTGTGCATCAAGAAAAAGTATAAAAAATATCATTAACAATTTATCCTCAATTATTATGAGACACCCTTTATGAAGACATATCGCCCGTTTGCATATCATGTTTTTTTCGGTATTCATTCGTATGTGAGACGTATTGCTTTTTTGCCATGTGTGTGCCTGGGAGAGATAAAAGAAAAAAAAGAAAGATGTACTATGACCAGAGAGGAAAGAAAAAAAAACGATAAGAATAATTTCTTTTTATGATATGTTTGTTTCTTTTCTTACTAATAATAGTTTCATCGCCTTTCTTTTTTCATTCTCTCCCATTAACGACCCCTATATAAATGGGCATAGATGATAAATAAATCTATTTTAGATTGCGACAACGTTTTGGGTACTTTCTGCAAAAAGAAACCATTAGAATTATATGCTTTATTTTCCCTTGTCGAATATTGATATATTACAATATTTGAAGATGACCTACAGGAGTCTAATTGCACGGTATGTAAAAATTATTACATTGTATTCTATACTACGAAATTACGACAATAAAAAAGGTAAGATTTTGAAAATTTTGACAAATAGTTTCAGAAATATAATCTAATACTCGATTGATTTGATTCTATATCTAAATTGAACAATTCTTTTTTTGACATAGATTTTTGCTCGGTCATTTACATATTCTTTTATTAATAATACATAGATAGATATAATATACTATTAGTTTATGTATAAAGCCATATCTTATTTTGATGTAAAGATTTATTTTTTCGATAATAATAATATCGTATCTTGGAGATGAAAATTAAGAAATAGAGAAGGAAGAGGTAAAGAATGAATTGTAAAAAGAGATATTTGAAAAGGATGATTGTCTCAGATCGAAAGAAGAGATAAACTTGCTACAATCAAAGAGTAAGCTATAATATTATCAGACAAAATCAGTGAAGATTATCACTTGTTCAGAAATCGTTTAAGATATGGGCGAAGGTCACATTATATACAGGGTGTTCCAAAAGTTCCCGAGGCAAATTTATGTAAATATCTTTTATACAACACAAGAGATTTAGTCACTTTCTTCTCATTAAATGATAGTGTATTCTTTTAAGTTTTATTTCATATAATTTGATTTACAACAAATGTTTGAAATGATCAACATCAATCAGTGCTGCCACATTTGGAAGTCCGAAAGGCAGAAAGACAGCAGAAAGTATGTTTATGATATGAAATTAACGGGTAGCTCGTAATAAAAGAGTCTCAGTATTTTGTTAACATCTTAAGCGTTATCTTATCGCTCACGCTTTATTTTTTTATGAAAAGATTCACCATCTGCTTCGGCACAAATTGCATATTTCGTTGTAAAAATACTTATTCCTTTCTGTTTCGACATCACCACGACTTAAAAACAGCACTACACACAATTTTCAAAAACTCTGTTTTTCATTTTTTTCCGAAAATATCCACTCCTTTGATTAGTCTTATTATCATTGATCGTGCCATATTCTTTATCCAGAAATAAAATAAATTGTCTTTGGTACGTTGATTAAAATGAACCAATTTATGTCTTGAATGGCGAACAAATTATACCCAAACCCACAGGATTAATTGAGAAACTGGACATTTTGGAAAAAAAAATGAAGACTTTGAAAGTTGTGTGTAATGCTTGTTTTAAATCATGATAGTGTTGAAAGAGAGATAAGTATTTTTTACAGCGAAATATACCAATTTCTACGGAATCAGACGGTGAATCTTTCGATAAAAAAATAAAGCGTGAGCGATAAGATAATGCTTAAGATATTAACAAAATACTGAGATCCTCTTTTGTTATGAGCTACCCGTTAGTTTTAAATTTTAGTTTCAGTATACCAATCACTCGTATTTTATGGCATCACAAAACACAACTAATTAACAAATAGACAGAATCGTTGAACACGTTTTCTGTTTAAGAAGTATTCTTCATCTGATTTGAGAGCTTTTGACAAATCTTTTTTATCTACTGAATATTTATCCATTACAGTATATGATAAGGAGAAATTCAAAATAATTATTGATTAAATCATAGCATTTAAAATTTTTTTGTTTCTTGTTGTTCATAGGATTATCAATATTAGCTTTTTATTAGCAATGTTCGGAAATCTGTTGATGACGGACGATAAGTGTTAGTTGAGACGGATCAAATTTATATTCTTTTAAAGATCATTAATATCCGACGACTTTGAACAATTCTCTGTTGAAGATAACTCAATTCAATTTCTGATTTCTGCTTTAACTTGTGATGACATAATTATTACTTCAGCAATTGTCACTGCTTTGTCAATATCTTCTTCGCTAGTCGAGCTGTCATTATCATCTAGAGCTGTTTTTTCTGTTCCTTTCCTCTCACTAATCATATTAATTATTCATGTTCATTGAGTGAACAAACGAAAGAATGTGTATGCTGATATATATGAATTACATGAGTAATTAAAATACGATAGAAAACCATAGGTAAAGAATTGATTTAAAGCCAAATATGTAGGTTGGTAGTTGTTTGTAGTCAGTAGAAAGTAAAAATCATCTTTATCAAATAGAAAGAATTAGAATGGCACAAAAATATCAGTAGTTTTTGATACGATTTTTTAATAATTATGGAAAAGGTATTTCAGGTGAAAAATGTTGATTAAAATAATAAATAACGCCGTATCAAAAAAAGCAGAAACGATAGAAAAAACTAGAAAAAACTTCAAAAAGCAGAATTTTTCTGCTAAAAGCAGAAGAGATGACAGCTCTGATATATGCCCTTAGATTTTTTTGCTCAGTGGCACTGTTTGATCGCTCTCTCAGAATTCGATCCCAACACTACATAAGTTGTGTACATTTATTACACGTACGTAGAAGTTGTGAATTTTGTTTTGCTTTAATTTTGACAAAATGCTGAGCATAATTTCATATTCATCTACCTTTTTATTGTTTAGGCACACGTTTTTCTTATGAGCTGTTTGTGAAGTTTTGTCTGTACTGTAGGCTATATATGGCAAGCAAGTCATATATAATCAATCTAATTTGAAGATTAGAGTTTACGCTGAGAATAGGTCGTCGTTTGTTTTCGAATGGTCTTTGGTGAGTTGTGGTTTGCGGTATACTGGTGTAGTTATTAAAAAGAATTAGTTCGTGCAGAATCTTCAAATTTGAAGCAATGTTTGAGCGATTTCATGTTGGACTGTTCGTCATATGAGAGAGTTGATTTGCGAAGTTTTGTAGGCTATCACGTAGCCGCACAACTCCACTCTCAATAGTGACTTTTCACGATTTCAAAGATAGGCTTTGGTGTTGTTCCTATTATTTTTCTAACATATTTTGGTGCTATAGTCTATATGAAGTGCTTTACATAAAACTGTAAATATCACTTTTCTATTTCAGATTTCTTGCTTATATCAGAAAGTGAATCTTTACATATTCATTACAACCAATAAGTTACGAACCAAGTGAATACTACAAGATAAACATTACCATTCGTACGATTTAATTACTTATATATTCAAGTGAGTTCTTGCTTGCTGTTAATATGCATGATAACTAATTTGGAAGAGAGTATTGTAAGTTTTCTGGAATGAGACACTAAATTTACTTTCATACGACTCGAGCATTCAGGCTGGAAGTTTTCCCGTCCCTAGAACGCAGTAGTATGTATATTGACAAAAATCAGCTTGATCGGTACATGTGATCTTTTGGTATAATTCATTAAAAAAATGATAGTTTAATATTTTTTGAAAAAGTGTTGTGACTCAATCTATAGAATGATTCGCCCTTCCGTAAGTTTTAAATTGAGCGAAATTTGATGTTCTGGACTGAGCAGGAGTCGTAATGACTTCTGTTGATGTGCTTACATTTCCTTCTTCAACTCGCTACTGTCTGAATAGTTCCAAGCACTCTATATTAACGGTTATTTGATGAGAAAATGTTGTGATTTTTTTTGTATCCGATTGGCACATAAGTTCTACATCTTTCTTTTTTATTTTTTAAACAAATTTCAGACTTTATATCTCGTGACTGAAAAGAGATATAAAGCTTTAAATTTGCCTAAAAAACAAAAAAAAACGTGCAGAACTTATGTACCAATCGGGTATCCTCGAGAAAAACTCAGTTGGACATGTTTAATTAGAGCAGATATTTCGAATTCTTCATCCTCTCATGACTTCTGGCAAATGCGGTAGCTATAATTCGGTGAATATACAAAATCCTTTCGTCTAAGAAAAATGAAAATTTCGATCGTATACTTGTCATCCAGTTTTATCTTTTATTGGATTTCCGTCATTATTCTATTCTAGCTACAATATCCTCAAGCACCATTTTTTATTGTTCCGTGTCGGCATTGGCAACATAAAATCGAATTGATTTTAATCGAAAACACGTTCATTCGATAGTTCTCAGTAGCACGGTAAAAACAAAACAATATGTCCACACCTATTCCACACCCTGAAGAACGTTTTCTAATTGGAAATCTCAATGAATTAGATTCCGATTTTCCTTTGCAATCTTTTCTAAGACTTCACAAATTATATGGTGATATCTACTGCCTCAATATATTGGGTATTAGAACTATCGTCATATCCAGTCAAGAACTCGTCAATTTTATTTGTGATCAATCAAAATTCGATAAAGCACTTAGCCGACCTATAGAGGAAATTCGGCCTCTTGCTGGTGATGGGCTCTTTACTGCTCGTACATCAGAGCCGAATTGGAAACTTGCACACAACATTCTGGTTCCTGCCTTTGGACCGATCGCAATCCGCAGCATGTTTCCGCAAATGATGGATATTGCTTCTCAATTGATTTTACGTTGGCATCGCTTTGCTGCAGAAGAAATTGATGTTTGTGATAATTTTACCCGATTAACATTCGACACAATTGCACTTTGTGGATTCGATTACCGATTTAACAGTTTTTATCGTAACGAAATGCATCAATTTGTTGTTGCGATGGGCAGTGTCCTTACCGAAGGTAATAGACGTTCTCAACGACTTCCGTTACAAAATACACTCATGGTTAGAGCTGCAAAACAGTATCAAGATAATATTGCTTATATGCACAAGCTATGTGATGAAATTGTACAATACAGACGCATGTATCCAAATGATACTAATGATTTGCTTAATCGAATGATTAACGGAAAAGATCAAGAAACTGGCCTTCAACTATCGGATGAAAATATTCGTTATCAAATGGTCACATTTCTGATTGCTGGTCATGAAACAACTTCTGGAATGCTTTCACTCGCGTTTTATTACCTTCTCAAGAATCCGCATGCCTTCCAAAAAGCACAAGCAGAAGCTGATCAATTTGACGAAATCACCGTTGATATCCTGCCAAGATTGAAATATATTGATGCTATTCTCAAAGAAACACTTCGACTGCAACCTATAGTATCATTTTTTTCCGTACAATCGAAAGCAGACAAAGAGATCCTACCTGGTGGCTATGAAATCCACAAAGACGATCGAATTTCAGTCCTGGTGCGTCAATTACACCGTGATACAAAAGTTTGGGATCGCCCAGAAGATTTTCTACCCGAACGAATGCTCAACGGAGGTTTTGAAAATTTGCCACCAAATGCCTGGAAACCTTTTGGAAACGGTCAACGTAGCTGTCTTGGTCGACCATTTGCCATGCAAGAAAGTGTTATTGTCATCGCACTCATTCTTAAACATTTCAATCTTGAATTTGTTGATCCTTCTTATGATCTTCGTATTAAACAGATGGGAACGATTAAACCTGCTGGATTTAAAATACGAGCTCGACCACGTCAGCAAGTCAAAATTCCACTAGGTATTAGCATCAAGAAACAAGAAGAGATGACACCTGCTCAAATACCGGCCGTCGAGGCAAATCAATTTCAACCGTTATCCATTCTTTTCGGCAGCAATTCCGGTTCATGTGAATCATTTGCCAGAACTTTGGCCTCTGAAGCACCTACCCATGGATTCAATGCGACAATTGCAACTCTTGACTCAGTCGTTGGAGCGATTCCCTGCGATCGGCCGGTGATCATAGTGACTTCCTCGTATGAAGGTCAACCGTGCAGTAATGCAAAACAATTCGTAGCATACCTTCAATCGAAACCGGAGCTCAAGGTCAACTATGCTGTGTTCGGAGCTGGCCATCATGATTGGGTTAACACGTACCAAAAGATTCCAATTTATATTGATGAAACGCTTGAAAAAGTTGGTGGTACGCGTATTGTCGATCGTGGAATCGGTGATGCTGCTGGTGATTTCTTTGGTGCATTTGAAGCTTGGAAAGATAATCTTTTTCAAGTATTACGCAAAATGAATGGATTACAAGGTGTTATTAGTCAAGAAAAGCTTTCTATCGAAATTGTTAATTCGACAAGAAGTCTTGGACAAATAACAGATGTCGGCATTGTAATAGAAAACAGATTACTTGTTGAAGCAAGTGAACTTGGGCCTGCAAAGCGACATATCGAAATTGAGCTGCCAAAAGGGCAAACATATCGTGCAGGAGATTATCTTGCTGTATTGCCAACTAATCCACCGGAAATTGTTCGTCAAATTCTTAAACGTTTCAAATTATCTATTGATACTAATATTAAAATCACGTCGTCTACAGAAACATTTCTTCCAACTGGTTATCCCGTGAGCGCATACACAATTCTCTGGGGTTATGTCGAACTGAGTCAACCAATCAGTCGAAAGCAAGTGGAAACACTTGCTGCACTATGTAAAGATGAAAATGAACAAACACAACTTCAAAGTCTCGGTGGTGATGCATATGAAAAAGAGATTCTTGATAAGCGTCTTAGCATACTTGATATTCTCGAACAATATCCGTCATGTGATCTTTCATTTTCACAATATCTTCGAATGGTGCCATCACTTCGTGTGCGTCAATATAGTATCTCGTCTTCGCCTCTGTGGAATTTCGAATCGGTGACACTTAGTATCGACGTACTCACTGCTCCGGCATTGAGTGGACTGGGTCAGCACTGGGGTGTTGCCTCCAATTATCTTGCCAATCTGAAACCAGGCGATCGTCTCAGTTGCAGTGTCCGAGCAAGTGATTCGAACTTTCATTTACCTACTGATACAAAGGTTCCAGTAGTGATGTTTGCTGCTGGCAGTGGAATCGCCCCATTTCGTGGCTTCATTCAAGAACGAGCAGCACAGATGGTGTGTGGCAGACAAGTTGGTCCTACTATTCTCTACTACGGATGTCGATCAGAAAAAGATTTCTTATACGCCGATGAAATTGATAAATGGTCAAAAATTGGTGCAATTCAGGTGAAACATGTCTTTTCACGTGGATCAAAGGATGGCAAAAAATACGTTCAAGATTTAGTTTGGGAAGATCGGAAAGATATTCGCAAATTGTTTTCCGAAGGTGCACGACTTTACACTTGTGGAAGTGCAACGAAGCTTGCTGGATCATTGAAAACTTGCTTTATTAAGATTATTGCAGAGCATCGTCAATGTGATGAGTCCGAGGCAGCAACGATTTTAGCAACGGTTGATGCTACCAGATACAGTGTCGATGTCTTTGCATAACAATATACCTTAGTGTGCTTATTTTTATTATAGACCTAAGTATTAAGCTTTATCGTTTATGTAGTTGCGAATTATTAGATTTTAGAGATGCTTTTATAATTTTCATTTATTCGAAACATGGTGAATAAAAACTCACCCAACAAATAATTAATAATTCTGTTCAACGGAGAATAATCCATTTCAAAGAAAAGCACTTTCATGCTTATATTTGCCAAGCGAATTGTTCGAATTATAAATAAAATAGCACATTCGTGCTTCCTACTAAAATATCTCTTAGCAACGATATGGATTTTGCGTAGTTCTCTTGGCTCTCATACTTTTCTGCCTATTTGGACAATACACAACTGAAACGAATTACAAATCTGATATTGACATCGTATATTCGCTTAACAGAGTTTGACTCGAGGATGTCGCTGTTGTATCTGATGTGAGTGTGTGCGGGTGGGTGTGAGTGTGGGTAAGAAGTGGATGGGGAGCGGGTGTGGATGTGGATTTGAGTAGGGAATGAATGTGGATGTGGGTGTCAGTGCAGGTAGGGAGTGGATGTGTGGTGTGAATGTGAGTGCAGGTGGAAACTAGATGTGTGGTGTGGGTGGGTGTGGGATGTGAGTATGAGTGTGGGTGCGGGTGTAGGTGAGAGGCGTCAACGTCTTCATCAGTACCCGCATCCAACCACACACGCACACACACCCCTACACACATCCACATCCACACCCCTACACACATCCACATCCACACCCAACCACACACTCACACGCACAACCACATCCATACCCACGCCCACACTTACACCCTAGCTGTTGTTACTATTGGAAACTCCAAGAGTTATGTGAGTTTGACATTGAGTGTCTTCATGGAATTGAAGTGACAGACTGTTTCTCGAAAAAACTGATCAGTAAGTTGATGCCTGAAACGCACCAGCTTTTCGCCAGTTTTTTGCCGGTCAAGTCAAAAACTTCAACCGACCGGTTACCGACTGGTTCGTTTCGGTCCAGAAAACTCCGACCGTTATCCAGTTATGGTATAGGTGTCGATTGTGGGTATGAGTGTGAGTGTGGAAGTGATTGTAGTTGTGGGTGGCTTTGAGTTTGAAACTGATCTTGATTCACACCCAAACCCTGTCTCTGATGTGAAAATTTGCAGGAGTCATTAAAAGTGATTGAGAATCATTGTGATAAATCATGTGCAATTAAATTACTTATGCGACTATTGCTTACCGTTACAAATTTCAATACTCTCTATTGTCCATGTTCTAAGACAAAATTGAGAACAGAAAATGATCATGAGTTGAGCCTAGCTCGATTTTTTCATCAAAATAGTTTATTAATAAATGAGAGATTGACAAGAAATATGTATAATCAAAAAGAGAAGCATATAGATAAGTTAGCAGTGTCATCTATCAAAGTAGCGTCTTTTTTTATTGCTAAAAAGTATGCTTAACAGTGCATGAGCACTCGATTGAGTAATGATTCTGTCATCATCATCAATGATTCGTGAACGAATGTCTTTGATGATAGTTTGTTAAAATTTTATAGATTTTTGTTCAAATCCCAAATGACTTGATTGACTGTCTGACCATTGATAGTGCTATTATTGGATAAAACGATGAAATTGGGATTAGATTCCAGTGATGTTTGCAGTAGTTCTTCTTGATCAAAATTTGTATGATTCTTATAATTTAGTATTCGCTGAATTGTTTGTTCGATTGGCAATTGTGTATTGCTGAAGAATTGTTGAGTTATATACGGCTCCTCATCTTCAGATTTGTTATTCGTATCAGTGAATTCGATTGATGACATTTGCTGATATGGTTCATACGTTTTCCGATTAAAAATATGTTGATAACGATCGACTAGAACTGAAACAAGCATACCGATTACAGCTGCACCACACAAGGCACATGCACAAGCTATTATACGACCAGCAGTTGTTATCGGATACATATCTCCATAGCTATTGAAATAGATTGAAATAATTTTATTATGAAAACTTACCGTACTCACCCAACGGTCATAATTGTGATTATTGCCCAATATAATGCTTTCGGAATCGAACTGAACACTGCGTGATTGTCTTCAACTTCAGCAACATAACACGCTGCTCCGAATAGAAATGCTAAAAGAATTATACCAAAAAATGCTCCGATAAAATCGGCACAAGATTCTTTAATAGTTGAACCAAGAGTATGCAGTGTTTTCACATATTTAAAAATAAGAAACAATTTTAATATACGAAATAAACGTATTAAAAGTAAAATGTTTATAGCGGTTGTGGTTTTCAAATCTGTCTGCAGATATGACTTATTTGTTGCAAAACCTAAATAGACAAAATAAGGAATAATAGCTGCCAAATCAATATAAGTCCAAAACGACAAAAAAAAGCGTTTATAAGATGGAGTGCTTATCAAACGAAGAAGAAATTCGATTGTGAAATACACAACGCAAATAGTTTGAATAATGAAAAATGGTGAGTCGAATACTTCTGTACAAATTGGAAGAAATGTTGTGTTGACAGAAAGATTTGCTTGTTGGAGACAAGAATTTAGTGAATAATCAATGAATAGGGGCAAAGTTCCAATAGCCAACACGAGACACGAGAGCAAAGTGAAAGTCATCGTAATGATAGTGATCAAAGTAGCCCATATTGAACTTTCAGGATATTCTAGAAGGCACCAAAGAACTTTACGCCAATGTTTTTTCGGCATGAGTGCAATTTTTAATTCACTTATATTTTCCGATTCCTTCACTTGAGCATATGCTGTTGGACCTAATTGAAAAAACGAAATCTCCTCGAGAAATATATCTAATGAGATAGCATCTGATCGACGAAGACGTCCATTTGATTGATAATAGTGCAAGATACATTCGAAACAACCTCGATGCCGGTCGAAAAAGTATTCTTTCCGTTCGTTATGCCAGAAACGTTTCCGTTTACTTTCGTTGCCCAAAAGTGTTTCAGGAAAATTTTCGAGAGTAGATAGTTGTGTTTCATATCGCCGTCCACTAACATTGATTATGACTATTGGGGATTCACTATTCGGTTTTTCCATCGATTCATCATGGGATTCAAATGAATTGAATGAAGCCATACTATTATTATTATTAAATATCAACAGACTTCAATGAATGAAGGAAATTATACTGAGATGTACTTATAAAATATGGCTACAAATGTACTTAATTTTATTGGATGATATTTTCGTTGTTGTATACTTCAGAGTATTGCTTGAGCAGCAGGAGCATATTTGGACCACTAGAGTATGAAACAAATAAAATTTTATAGCCCTACTTCGATGAAAACGTACTTGACGACACTATATAAATTCTTCAGAGACGAAAGTAGCAGTGGTATCCATATCTATGCCTTCTCATATAATTCGCTTTATGTTTTCTTCAAGAATCGGTGGCAAAAAAAACAGCAAGCCTTTTATAAGAAAAATCTAAAGTACGTCTAAATATTAAATAAAATCATACTATAGTCACAGCATTCTTTTTCTGTACGTCTTTTTCTATACGTTCTTGTCTATTCTTCTTTTTATATGTCCTTTTCCATAAGTTCATTCTAAATACCGAAAGCTGTCATAAACGTAAAGTTTGAATGTTGAATTGAATTAATTGAAAATAAACAAAATTGCCTGTGTAACTAGGGATGTAATGTTAGTATTGGTATTTAAAAAATGCTGCTGCTTTTGCATTAGAATTAATGATTAAGATGAATGCTTCAGCATTACTAGCATTAAAGTCAATTATTGGCAAAGTGTTAGTATTAGACTAGCATTTTTAAAAATTTTAATACATGTACTTCATGTAGCTTTTAGAAAGCTACTTGAAATACAATAAGTAGCATGTTCAAGTAGTCCCTAGAAAGTTATATGTGACAAGAGAAAGTAGCCGATCAAAACTTACATTGGGTATATGTAATAGAACTAAAATGAATGCCAACTTAATGCTAACATCTCGGCATTAATTAATTAAAATGTCAAAAATGCTGAAGTAGTATTATGAATGATTAATACTAATACTAATTCTAATGCAATACGCCTACGTGTAACTGACCTTTAATATCTGTATCATGGCATGTGACCATGTGCGACTCTTCGAAGAACCGCGATCCAAATTCGCCTCCGTATACATAGTAATATCGACTTTTATTTTATAATTTGATATTACGAAACACAACGTATAAAAAGGACGTACAGAAAGGGATGTATAAAAGGACGCATAGAGAATGACGTAAAGAAAATGACATATAGAAAAGGACTTATAAAAACCATGTAAATCTAAGCAGATCAGGATCGTATGAAAATTTTTTATCGTTTTTGATCGAAACGATAAATCGGATGAACTTATGCATTGTTCAACTGATCGTCGTTTTCAGATGCCATCCACTATGGAGGTCGGCAAGCCAAAAAAGGGGATATTAAAGAGAAACGAATGACAATACGCAAAGAACGAAGCGAGTACTGAGTAATATGCCTCAGTAAAAGTGTTGGAAAATTTTTAGAAAAATAAGAAAACATATTCTTCTATGAGAGTAAGACAAAATGATTGCATATAGTATTCTTATCACATTTGGTCCCATCAAACAGTGTTTTCACTGTGCATATCCCACGCAATGCATCGGGGTTCACTAAAAAGAAAGTTCAGATCTAGTTTATCTTATTGTCAAAATTCTGCTTTCTTTGAGTTCTACTAAAGAAGTTAGAATCACAAGACTCAGAAGAAAGCCATCTTTTCCAAATCTGCTTCCGGTTGAACGATCCAGAGTATAAAGTATCAGTAGATTTCAAATTGTTATTAATTTTTACTAAATCTCAGAGAGTTGATCTCTGGTTTTTCACAAAAGTAGCCTATGACAAGTAACAAAGAGCAGAAATCAGAGATGTACTGGTATGCATATTTGAAAATCATCACCAAAAAAGCAGGTATTACAGACAAACAACGAGAAATGTTCTTTCACGAATACTACATAATATATATTTTTCTCGTTACAATGATGGT